GAACTGATGAATAAAATTGAGAATGGAAATTGGGAATATGTCAAAGAGACAACAACCCGACCAAAGAGCAGAAAACAGCGCAAGGCCTACAATGGGTCTTCAACACAGCGAGAAAATCCCGCACCCGGAGGCGGGCTTCAGCTGGCCCCTAGATAAAAATGTGTACTAGTTCAGTGAAAATGGACGTCATACTAAACTCCAAAACATATTAATGAACTAAAATTAAAAAAACATACAACTAACAAAGGCCAGAGGCTCCTGACTTGGGACAGGCGCAAAAATGCGGCGGGGATAAACTGTTTTGTGAGAACTCAACCCTCCCCCCTATACCTCTAGCCAATGTAGAATAAACAAACACACAGCAATACGCACAGTAAAACTCAGTTTAAAAGAAGTCCGAGTCCGATGTCAGAATAGGTAACAAAAGAAACTAAGCAAAATGACAATGATACATAAATTAACAAAGGACTACTAGCAGGTACTGACATGCCAGCTCCAGACCTCAATTAAACTGATTGAAAGATTATGTCTTCATCATATGAAAATCAAGCACAACCCCTCCCGTTAGGGGTTTAGTATCATACCATCATAAAATATATGAGAAGAACATAACCCGTATCATGCCAACAACTGGTTTTAGAACCAATGTGTTTTTTTCCGATGCAAAGACCCTATGAGTGAATCAATATTAATACCAAAATATGCCATCTTTAATGACATCTAAACATCTAAACAATCTAAGCTTAGAAATTTGTGTAAGTTCATTAGAGTTATAAACGATGAAGTTGGTTCTCTCAATTAAACGTCTCCCTCCTCCCCCATAATTTTAGGTTACATTTAATATACACTGCACATTTTTAACATATTTATGTATCTCTATTGTATTGATTGTTTATTTCCTCAACATGTGTACCTTTGTATTATGTATATTTCCTCAACATATGTACCTTTGTATTATTGTATAATGTCTATGTTCTTCTGTGTACCTTTGTATCTACAGCGGTTTATCAGAATAAAGTATATATATATATATATCAGGAGTCTGTAATTCAGTGGTTGTCGTTTGTTGTTGTATATCATATTTTGTATTTCGTTCATTGTTTTTTTTTTTTTTTTTTTATATAAATCAGGCCGTTAGTTTTCTCGTTTGAATTGTTTACATTTTTCATTTCGGGGCCTTGAATACGGGCATATTCATACAACTCGTTAATGGACAGATCATTTGTATTCTGAACGGGGGGAGGGGGGTCAGAGGAAATTAAGGGAGGAGCTTTGAAATATTTTGGGAATGAAACGAGGGGTTTCCAATTTTTCAATACTTCAGATGTGCATAGAAAGTTTTTCACATGATGAAAAATTCTGTACTAGTATTTCAAACATGCAAAAATTGTAGCTAATTTGATAAATACACTAAATCTGTATCTTACTCTTCATCAGAAGTGTATATCTATATCTCTTGTGTCATCTAGCTTTTTTTTGGCTTCAAAGTTCATTTCAATGTTTGTTTCATGATCGCTGAACCTGTATAAGAAAGATTTTTTTTATATCTCAATAAATAAATAGATGGCATCTAGTCTCAAGTACGCACAAATGCTGATACTTTATAGGGAATCCATGCATTACTAAGTATTCCTTTTCGACTTTTTTGTAATTTGGATATACGTTTTAATATTTATAAATCAAATTTGAGAATTTCGGTCAAATCGGTCAATGAACATAAATTTGACAGCTAATGCCAATTGAAGATAATAATAACGAGTTTTAACATGTCTTTGTGTGAATATTTTTTCTTTATGACCTGAAGATGCAAACCCCTATAATAAAATAATATCAACTTTTCTTCGACTCGTTCCTCTCGGCAAAATTTGTTAAGATCCAAAACCTAAGTAACATCATGTTCTTCCAAGAAAGTATTTTTATCTGAGGATAATTTACTAAATTAAATGATAAAGGATAGGAAAACTGCTTAAATTGAATGAAGGTGTGGTGAATGTCATTGAGATCATAACATGCATAACCAAATAAAGTTCCCTGAGCAACAAACAACTTCTCCACTTGAAGCTCTATGGTCAGTTTAATCTAACATCTGTTGTATTTTATTTGTTATTGCTTGACCTTTATATAAGTGTAATTTTGCAATTAAGATTATTATATCCTCTGCTGATGTAACTTGTATAATAATAATGATATAAATTAGACTTGAAGTGCATGCATGTACTTTTTTTTGTTAAGAAAAAAAAAGGTGTTGAAAAATTTGCTATTTTGTCGGCTCTGATTAAAATATCTTAATTCAAGCCGGCAAAGTAGCATATTTCTATAGAAATGGCTATTTTACCGGCACGGCAATATAGTGAATTTGTTGCCGGTACTGGAAAAATAGAAAATATGCTAGTTTGCTGGCTCTAGGTAAGCGGAAACCAAGTTAAAATCTATTTCGTTTACATATATGCCATTCAAAGAACTGACTATTATTTCAAAAGCAAATTTAATTTAAACATTTTTGATTTTTGATTTGTGAAACTGTGTGATTGATTTTGTTATATTGTATAATGTTTTATCAAATTTATGATGCAATGAGATTTTAACTTTTTTTTATACGCACATACAGTTAAAAACGGCTGAGATTTTATTCTTATGCATACATGTAGCATTAGACTGTGACTGATATTAGAAATAATTTCAACTACATGTTTTGATATGATTTCATTGCAACAAATGGATGCTCAATATTTTATCTTTAATTCTTGTTATAAATTCTTCTTCTTCTTCTTTATATACAGAAAAACATCAACTGGTTGATGACTACTTTCTTGCTCATGCCTGGTTTAACAATATTGTTAATGATTAAAAATATATTTTTTGATTTCATAATAATTTTTCAATTTTTATATATACAAATGTATATGTAAGTAATATTTTTCAATTTTTATTTTTATATTTTTGGTATAAGATAAAAACAAGATACAAATTAAACATGTAGGTTTTTGTAAGTGTCAAGGAGCATCTCTCTAGTGAGTTTCTCCTTGAAGCACTCAGTAGTGGTGCTGCAGGCTATTGGTTCAGGTAATTTGTTCCAGTCTTTTATAGTTTGGCAGAAAAATGAAAATTTGTAACTGTCTTTGCTGCATCGAATTTGTCGGTATGTTTGTTCGTGGCTAGACCTGGTGTTTGATTTGCTTTTAATTAGTATGTCAGTATGTGGTATGGCAATTTTGTTGTTTTTTATTCTATGGAACATATTTAATCTGCTTTTGAGTCTCCTTTCTTGTAATGTTGGCCAGTGAAGTGTGTTTATAATGTTTGTTACACTTTCAGTATATTTGTAGTTGGAGCATACATATCTCGCTTCACGTCTTTGGACTTTTTCTATGGAGTTAATGTTCTCTGTTGTGTAAGGGTCCCAGACAGTGCAGCAGTATTCAAGTTTTGGTCTAATAAGGGCTTGGTATGCTCAGTCTTTGGTGATTACTGAGTTTATTTTTAAATTTCTTCTGATGAATCCAAGGGTCTTATTTGCTTTTGATGTCATGTTCTGAATGTGTTTGTTCCATTTTAAATTTGATGATATAGTTATACCTAAATATTTTGCATTTTCAACTGACTCAAGAATGTGACCGTGCATGTTATAATAAAAATGGATAGGTGTTTTCTTTGTGGTCACTCGAAGTATGTTGCATTTGTCAGGGTGGAACTGCATTAGCCAGTCTTGTTCCCATTTGATTGCCCCTTCTATGTCTTCCTGGAGTTTAAGGCAATCTGATGTTGATTTTATCTGTCGGCAAATGATGCTATCGTCAGCAAAGAGCCTGATTTGACTGTGATGTAAATAGTCAGGTAAGTCATTAATGTATATTAAAAATTGTATTGGACCTAATACAGTGCACTGAAGAACACCTGATGTAACTGGTATGTTGTCAGAGGAATGGTTTTCTAGCATAACTGTTTGTGAACGATTTGAAAGGAAAGATTTTATCCAGTTTGTAGCTTGATCTGATACACCGAAAAATTTAAGTTTATATAGTAAACGGTTGTGTGGAACTTTGTCAAAGGCTTTTGCGAAATCCATGATGATTAGATCGGTTTGTATGTTTTTGTCGTTATTTGAACACAGCTGGTGAATTAGTGATATTATTTGGGATTCGCATGATCTATTTGCCCTGAAGCCGTGTTGCAAGTCATAAAGTATGTTGTTGGATTCAAGGTGTTTCATGATGTTGCTTGCATGATTATGTGCTCTAATAATTTGCAGGAAATACATGTTAATGAAATTGGACGATAGTTACCAGGATGATGTTTGTCTCCTTTTTTGAAAACAGGTGTTACATTTGCGTGGTTCCAATCATGAGGTACTGACTTTTCCTGTTTGCATTGATTTTGTAAAAATTAGAGTGAGTATGTCTGTGCATGTGTTGATGTTTTCTTTTAGCACTATTCCAGTAATGTTATCTGGTCCTGTTGCCTTTTTAGGATTTATATTTTTAATTAATTTATAGATGCCTTCTCTGTTGATGTCTATATTGTCCATTATTGGATGTGTTGATGGACCTTTGTCAGGAATTACTGTATTAGTCTCAGATGTAAAAGCTGATTTAAATTGTTCGTTTAATATATTAGCTTTTTTCAAGGGATCTGTATAAAGTAAACCTTCACTCCTAAGAGGTGCAATACCAGTGTTTTCATTGTTTTGGCCTTTTATGTATGAAAAGAGTTTTTTAGGTTGTTTGTTAAATCTCGGATTTTCAGGCTCTTGTATTTCAATGTCAAGAATCATGTTTTCGATATAATTCCAATATAATTCTTATTTTCACTTGATTCTTTTATGTTGACAGTGCACGATTTCGTAGTAAATTTCAAAAGTAAATATTAAATTTCACTCTTTAGTTTTGTGCTGACGAGGCGTGCCGCAATGCAATCACCAATCAAAAATATTCCAACTCGTCAAATTATGTTCAAACCGGATCATTTATGCCCGATGTTGGTTTAAATTTGTTTATGTTTTTCAAGCGAAACCACAAACAAGACCAGAGAACCTAGGTTTGTTGGAAGTAGAAACGAGTATATTGGTAAGTCATTAGAAGGTATACGTTGTCTAGATCTTCTACACCTATAATTACTTGAAAAAGTTGAAACATGTCTAAAGCTATTGATACGTAAAATCATACTCTCTTTCCGGCAAACAAAAAATGGCAAAGGCTGCTGCCACGTAAAGATCTCTTCCTTAAGGTTCATCATAACAAATGGACAAAAATGGCTGTATTTCCACCTCAAAAACTACTCTGAGTACAGACTTACCTGTGCAGTTGGAAAAGTTTTAATGCCTGGCATCCACTAGATATATAGAAGTTAAATGCATTTTGAGTTTCAGAAAGATAAAATCTTTTTTGGATTTTGATGGGCATTTGTTTTCATTCCTGCGGAATGTGTAAAAATAAACTAAGTTGGGATACAACTTTGAGATGCTCCCTCTCAGGTGAAAAGTATTGATTGTCCTTGATTGACATAAACAATAGACAGACAAATGATATCTACACAACTATAGGTGAGTTAAAGGGTTTTAACTGAGTGGACAGTATCAAAGCAGTTCAGGTGTTTGTTTATTTTTACACCTTCTGCAGAAAGGAAAAAAAATGCCCATCAAAATCCAAAAAAAGATTATATCTTTCTGAAACACAAAATGCATTTACCTTTTATATATCTAGTGGATGCCAGGCCTTAAAACTTTTCCAACTGGACAGGTAAGTCTGTATATACGTACTCAGAGTAGTTTTTGGGGTGTAAATACGGCCATTTTTGTCCATTTGTTATGATGAACCTTAAACACTTATTAACCTGTTAAAATACCAGTAGCTGTGGAACCCTTACTGTTTGGTACTGTGCTTTTTTGGGTTTTCACATTACCAAAAATATCCTAAGCCTAAGGACCATAAACAGATTATAAACATGTTAAACACTGGGTATGATTACCCGCAAAAAGTAACAGTAAGAAATAATTATTGTTCGGACAGGAATCTGATTTCTTACAGAAATTGCAGGTAGCAATAATATCAATTTTATTGTTACCTGCAGTTATTATCAGACCCGCAAAATGTATTTAGGCACTCAGGCAATGACAGGGATTTTTCTGGGTATTTTGGGAAAAAGGACCCTGGACAGTTTGGGATTTTTTTACACGATTTTCAATGAAATTGGGAAAAACAACAAATATACCAGATGTTAGTTTTATTGTGTCTAGTTCATTAGAATTATCTTTTTTGTGGAAATAAAGTATTAGAAACTACATCATCATCCTGATTGCCATTTATAATTTTATTCCTGAAAATGAGATAGTTTGGGAATTTTTCCTGCTGAAATTGGGAAAAATGTAGGGGTTTTGCCATTGGGAATGGATCCGAATACCGGACCCTGTGGAATGCTAGAAAAATCCATGAATGATATAAACGAAAATTGAGTTACGAGCAATCTGATTAAGAAATAAATTAAAACAATTAGATTATGATGTAAAACATTAACATGATTAAATTTCCATGGGTGAACATGTAATTAGGGCGAACGGATGCAATACTGTATTGACCAATCTGACGTTCACTTTTGCCATAGCATGTCTATTAAAACAGCTCTCTATTCTTATTCAGAGGAACAATTTGTTCCAGTTGAGAAATTTCCTATGAAAGTACTCGACAAGAACATTTTCTCAAGCGGCTCAAAAATTATTTTTTCAATAAGTCTTGGAAAATGCTCAAATAATCAAGATATCACCAAAGAAGGACATATCAAAATTATACTGTTTTGTGTGCTATAAAGACATGCATATATATATCATGTATATGGATCTATAGTTTTCGACGGGTGTCTTGAGTGGTACCACCTAAAATGTGTTTACCTCAAAATGCCACCTACGGCTACATACTGGATAGCTAAAAGAATTCTAAATACATGTATGTATACATGGGCTTTCAATTTAGTATTGCTATGTTCAATAAATAAATTTCTATTCATATAAATTTGTTCAAATATGTAAAGCAACGTATACGAGACAATCAGACACGAAGACAGTCCAAAGTATCCCAATGCTACACACAAAAAATAATTTTGTACATAATTTGCAAACGTAAAATTTTGCAGGTAACAATAAAAAATGATATTATTGTTAGCTGCAATCGGATATACATTTCGTCAATTAGTTTGGAAGTAACAATAATTATTTCTTATTGTTACTTTTGCAGGTAATCGTAGCCAGTGCCTAATTATATTTGTAATCAAGGCATCAGCAGGTTTGGACATCTTCAATCAATTTATAGAATTCTTCCCATCTAGTTGAAGTGCTCTTAATTTTGTAGGTGTTTTCTTAAAAAAAACCAGCTTTGTTTTCCAGCATATCATTAAAAGTAGAGATAAAAACAGAAAGATATGTTTAAAACAGAGCGATAAAATGATTGTGAAGTACCAACTTCAATCAGAGCTCTAAACTTCAATAAATGCAACTATTTTCATAATACATGTAAATGTAAAACTCATTTTAGTGACATGTGAAGCCATTTGACCTCACTGTTTTATTAAACCATTCAACTGTTTCCAACAATTAGTTTATTGCGGATGGCTTATATGCCTATACCTTTTTACAATCAGCGGATTATTGATTTTTCATCAAAATTGAAACGGGTGATGAGTTCAAAGTTACAAAGCTGAGTGCTTTCTGATAACATGGATAATGGGAAAAGTCAGAGAATCCAGAAAAAAATAAGCAAGATGAACGATGTCTTACCGCTATAATTCTTTTCATTTTTGCAATGAATTTTCATCCCAAATTATGTGATAATTGTGACCACCAGTGGAAACCCTGGTTAAAAGTAAACCGCACAAGATCAAAGAGCTACCATACTGTTCTACTTACTGTACTTAGACCTATTAAATGTATGTATATCGCTGAGGTTAAACTGATGGCAGTTACTGCAATTAAGGTGTAATACCACCATTGATTTTCCCCTAATAGTCTTTGTTAAATTTGCACTTTTCAAAAAATTGTCCAGAATTTATCTTTGTTTCAAATAAAGAAATACTTGGCATGAGTAAAGTTTTATCCTGTCCAGTACTATAGAAAAAATTTCACATAACATTTCATTGCATATAAGAAAATAACCATCACTGGAAGTTAACCAATCAAAATTTCCCCTTTTATTAACCTGTGTACAAGCTTTAGTAACCATGTAACCTCAAGTTTCCAAAATATTCCATAGAAACCCCAAATAAAAAAATAATGGTGCTTTTAAATACCCAAGATATATGTTTATGACCCAGAAATGTTTTACTGCAATGAAATGTAGGATCAATTACCTACAACTGTCAATTTCAAGGGAATATTTTTTTTCGACCTATTTTCGTATGCAACCGGATGTGACGTACTATGATTTGGTGGTATTACACCTAAAGAAGACTTTTTTGTTCAATAAACTGAATGTGACTTTTTTCCTTTGTAATACTGGTTATTTCAAGCATTCCTGTCAAGTTTTGTCATAATCAGTTCAATAGTTTGAGAAAAATCTAGTATAATGTAAGACGACATCTACAGCGATTCGAGCAAAATTTCTTTGAAAGATCCAAACCAAGCCGCATCATGATAGAATATAGTGTGGACCAATAAATGATCAAATATTAATCTCATCTGCCTACAAACAGTTGAATATGATACAAAAGATGACTTCAGGATGATAAATACCACTAATGGACCTCTTTGTCTTCCTTATAAGGTCTGTTTTGGTCCATTTATACCTCTCATTTCCTCAAAATTTCTACTTTTTAGGCCAATAAATAAAAATTTTGGGATAACTTTCACTCATTTATGATAGAAATGTTATGACAAATGAGTAATTGAAGTATTCAAGCTGAATGAACTATCAATATAAAAGTTTACAGTCTCCAAGGAGGTTTCAATAAGTCCTTACGTAAAACTTAAATTTATGCCGCGTTCCAGAGAGGGACATAAAAAGCTTCTCTTCTAGTGAATAATTTGTTGTTACTGCTTTAAAAATAATTTTATTTACTTATAACTATATATTTATTAAAGTATTTCTTAGGAAAAAATTTCTATTATAGCAGAATATAAGAAATAAGGAGAAAAAGCTCCCCAAAACACTAAGTTTGGCTTGTTCTGTCAACTAATATTCATGGTAGAGTCCTATTTCAAGAATATTTTCTCATAAAATGTGTTTTGGAGACTCAATCCACTCAGAATATTTCATTATTTGTAATATTTCACTTAAATAGCAAGAAATTTTAACACATGAGAGTACTCACAAGGTCAAAGGTGCATGTACAGCTTCCCATAAAGAAGACTTTTTTGTTCAATAAACTGAATGTGACTTTTTTCCTTTGTAATACTGGTTATTTCAAGCATTCCTGTCAAGTTTTGTCATAATCAGTTCAATAGTTTGAGAAAAATCTAGTATAATGTAAGACGACATCTACAACGATTCGAGCAAAATTTCTTTGAAAGATCCAAACCAAGCCGCATCATGATAGAATATAGTGTGGACCAATAAATGATCAAATATTAATCTCATCTGCCTACAAACAGTTGAATATGATACAAAAGATGACTTCAGGATGATAAATACCACTAATGGACCTCTTTGTCTTCCTTATAAGGTCTGTTTTGGTCCATTTATACCTCTCATTTCCTCAAAATTTCTACTTTTTAGGCCAATAAATATAAATTTTGGGATAGCTTTCACTCATTTATGATAGAAATGTTATGACAAATGAGTAATTGAAGTATTCAAGCTGAATGAACTATCAATATAAAAGTTTACAGTCTCCAAGGAGGTTTCAATAAGTCCTTACGTAAACTTTAATTTATGCCGCGTTCCAGAGAGGGACATAAAAAGCTTCTCTTCTAGTGAATAATTTGTTGTTACTGCTTTAAAAATAATTTTATTTACTTATAACTATATATTTATTAAAGTATTTCTTAGGAAAAATTTTCTATTATAGCAGAATATAAGAAATAAGGAGAAAAAGCTCCCCAAAACACTAAGTTTGGCTTGTTCTGTCAACTAATATTCATGAT